TTAATAAAACACCTACCTCATTTGCCCTTTAGGAAAATAAAAAATAAAAACCCCTCTATCAGTCACTTCTTAAAACTCAAGGTCACTGTATATAGAAATTGTGCTATATCAGCTCTGGTCATTGTTCACACTAGTGCACAAATGTATTAATCCAATTTTTGATATTGTAGACAGACTCAAAGAGAATGGGCAGAGGACAAGTGAATTTTGTGTTTGGAAGTTTCTGGCTTATGGGCTCTACAATGCCTTCTGGCAGGAGGCAGCTTTGGAGGGCTCTGCAATATTCAACTTCCCAATTTGCCTAAGGCTTACCTTGGGTAGAAGAAAGACATGTTAATTCTGAAATGAAATAGAATTGATTCTGTCCCTCATTTAGCTCATGCACACACTTAATAGCAAAAAGAGACATTAAAAATACGACTTACATTTTAGATGATTTTCTTAGCGTTTATATTTAAATATTTGAAATGCTTCAGAACTCACACTCTCTGTAACATTATTTGTACATAAATCTACAAGATAGATTTAAAAAATATAATTTTTTTTGGAAAAATTAATGAACCTCAAATTTACAGACTCACAAGTGACTTCTCTGTCTGTCTTCATTCTCAAACTATAAAAATACTCTGTGATAAAATAAAATGTGACTTCCAGGAGAACTCCTAGCCTGAGGAGATGCTGGAGGAGTGTGCCTGAGAGAGGCACAACTACCAGAAATAGATGTATGAGAAGTTGTACTTTTAAGACACACAAGGAATTACAAAATGTACCCAACATGACTAACTAGGCTATTCAGGACTCTGAGTTGGTTTTCTGGAGACCCCAGGTAGGAAACAAATGCCTCTGGCTGGTGTGACATAAGGCTATCTTGGGGCTCACTCTGTGAAGGTGCAGAAGCCTGAAGTGGAGACAGCCAGGCCATCCACGGAGGCTCCTCATTATCTATTTGTTGAGTGCACATGGAAACATCTGTGGTGAGAGACCTAAACCGAACTTTAAGGGTGCAGGTTTGGAGGGATCAGCTTTTTTCACTCTCTTCTCACTCTCTGGTGTGCTTTCTGGGGTTCTTAACACCTTCTCTCCTGGACCCTTTAAGGGACACTGAAGGGCCAATGTGAAAGAGTGCCCGTCATCAGCTCTGTCTCTGTGTTGCTGTAGAGAATAGGGAAACTAAAAGAAGCTCTTTTTAGATGTCAGTTTTTCTCAGGGTTGCCTTCATGGATACACAAAGCCAGGATGAGAACATGTGTTAGTGCTCCAGCTGCTGCATAAGTAGAGTGTAGGAAAAGGGCGCGGACTGCAGGCCCAGAGGAGGGTGCATTCGAAGTCCCAACGAGGTTATGTAAGAGATTTTAGAAATTTCATCTGTGAAACAGAAAAAAACAATCATTCTACAGGGTTGTAGGATACCACTGAGTACACAAAGTGTCAGGCAACTAACAGATTCTTAACACTTACTTCCCAGAATCCCCTTTTCTGCATAGTTTATGGACCACAAGAGACATTTGGAGTCACATTTGGAAGACAGAAGCGAAACTGCCTCCATTTTCTTTTGGGTTGGAAGATCTGTACAGTGCATGAGGTGCTGCTACAACTCACACAGGCTGCCACTTACCTGTTGGCTCACCCTGGTTTGGATGCACTGGATCTCCTTCAGGTTCTCTCACTTCTGGGCCAGGTGTGTGTTTAGCTCCCTGAGGAAGAGCATAAGGTTTACCTGCAGGGCACCTTCATCCTCAAAGCTGGAGTGTTGGAGGTGATGAGACACTGATGTGGATTCTGGTCCCTCTTTGCAGATTCTCCGTATCCTTGGAGATTTCTTCTTGTCCTTGCTTCCCCTCTTCATGGCTGTCTTTTCTTCCCAAGTGCTTGCTCTGCTGACTTCAGGCTTCAACATGAAACACAAAAGCAACAGCCTCTGTGTACAGTTTAACCAGCTCCCACAGTTGAGTAGAGTCAAAACCCTAGAATAAATGTCTTAGTATGCATCTATGTCCTAGTGGTTCTGCTTCTCTGCTTGAACTCTGACGCTTATACCTCTCAAAATGCCTAACATAGCCTTCTGACCATAGCAGACATCTCATTTATTTCACTTCATTCACAGTCATTTGGTGAGAGTTAACTCTGCTGGACCCTGGGATACTGAGATGAACAAAGCAGGATCTGGGCCCACAAGTTACACACAATCTGGTGGAAAGATTAAAGTTCCTATGCTGACATGATTAACTCCTGGAAGCTCTGTTCTTGTGTTCTTTTTAGCAATAAAATTGGATAGGCTAGGTCATCTGGGCTGGCAGAGGAACTTGCTTGGTCACATTCTGGCCGTGAGGCAGTTTTGACATAGAGGAAATCCTAAATGGCTTCATTGATTTCCCAGGTATTAATAATGCTGAGAGTTTACATCTCCAAAGCCCTCACAAAATCTCTTTCCAATGCATTCGTCATCTCATTGAACTTCACACAGACATGGCGAAGTGGGCAGGGCAGGTATTTTTATACTATTTTATAGATAAAGAAACTGGGGCTTGGAGCAGGATTTGAATGCAAAATTTCTCACTCCTAGGATAGAGTTCTTTCTACTGTGACATAGGTTTTCTCCCCGGCAATTCCAGATTGGAATCTTGTTTAGTAAAATGAAAAGCCCAGAGGCTTTAAAGACTTATGGATTGTCCTATAAAATGTGTGGTTATCTGAAGGATCACCTACCATGTTTTCTGTTTTGAGTAATGCCTAGAGCAAAGTCCAGGCCCTGGAGAGATCTGTGTTTAAATCTTTAAGCGTATTTCTTTTGGATGCCACCTAGTATTCAAAATAATAGCCCGTTTCTCAAATCCCAGCACCCTACATTCTCATTAGGCATGCCTATGTATACTTTCCATAACAAAATCCACTTAGTAGCCCACGGAGATTTGTCACATTGGATTTATCTTGCTGCCAGCTTCCAGAAATCTGTAAATGCTACTATCTCCCTTTTTGGATTAAATCTGATTCACTCTCTCAAAGTTGAGATAACTCATACAACATTTTTAGGCTAGAAAAACTGAAGCAAAGACCATGTTGTTGGAAACAAAGAAGAAAAAAACAGACATCCATCCCTAGGGAATGTTAAGAGCTCCGTCTTACCACCTAATATACAGTGTGTGTTATCACATTTTTTAGAAAAATCAGCTTTAGGCATGTGCATGCGAGTTTTAGTAGGTGATTGTTCAAATCATGTAGCACTTTACGCAGACTGCTCTGAGAACATAACAGCACCCTCAGTTGTGGAATTGATTTGCAAACTCATGATGCCTGAGATGATCTGCTTGTAGTAGTCTCTTATTTAATTTAGCATGAAGTAGTACCTTTGAAATCACAGGTGCTTAAAAACTATCCAAACACAATTTAATGCTCATCTAATGCCTCGAAAATAGTTATCTCTGGTTGAGGCCAGTGTTATGGGATGGTGTGAAAGAGGCTGGCATGGTATGGAATGTTTCATAATTCTTCCTGGAATGCCTTTGTCATTGTGCCCAAAATGCATATGTTTTAAGGTTAATTCTTTCTCTTTGTTTTCCATCCTTAAAATAATTTTAGAGTAAAGGTTGCAAACATATCAAGAAATGTTAGAGAATTTCTCTCAATAATAATGTAAAATCGTAAATGGTCTTAATAATGTTAGGGCCCAAATGCATTTTTTGTGTGTCTGTGTTTCTTTAGCATACAAACACCAATGTTTTCTTCTGTGCTTTAGTGAAGTTTCTGTGCTCCTATATCATGTAGGTGAAAAGTCCATGACATCTAAAAAAGCAAAACAAAACAAATAAAATACAAGAGCAGAAATTTGAAACATCAGGAAGTGCAGTAGTTATATCCTCTGTTCTAAATGCTCTGTCTGTTGATCTTAACCCTCAATCTTTATTCTTACTCTGCATGGTTTGTCCTTACCCACTGGATTGCAAAAAGCAGCAAATCACTCACTGCTTTCTTAAAGTGCTGTTTGATTGAATATTTTGAGAAATAACTTCAGAAACACAGGAAACTTCCAATGAGAGCTTCTATCCCAGATGGTTAGTAGAGGGACCATGGCTGACCTGCCCTTTGATGGTGCTGTTGGCAATGTGATTCTTGTTGGTAGCAGAGGAGAAGGCGTAGGAGGGCCTTTTGGTCTCAGATGATGGCTTGTAGACGTGTTCCTGCCAGGCTTATTAATACTGTTTGTGGATCTCAGTTGGTGTACTGGGTTTTATTTATCTTACAAGAGAAATTATTTCCAGATCTATAAAGACTAAGAAAAGTTGAGGATTAAAGTGCTAAACATACCCCACACACACCATTAGTTATCAGGGTATTTAAAACAACAACAAAACACTTCCCTTTATAAAGAGGTAAGTTTTCAGATTTTCCCTCCCACAGCGAGTTCTGAGTACCTGGGAGTCAGAGTAATGGAGATAGTATATAGTTTTTCCTGAGTCAATTCAATTTAATTTATTGAACAACTATGTATTATGCACAAAACTCTGGGAGAGGCCTCATATGGTTTACAAAGAATCTGCCCTCAAGCAGTTTAACATCCTAGTTCTTTGAAACAGAAGTTATTCCAAAAGTTCAAAACCTCTTTCTGCTTGGACAAGGTTCTTAAGTATTCACTGTTTCACACTGCTATCTGGAAGCAGTTCTTTTCTGTATAGAACTAAGTGGTTGTACACTAGGGAAGTGGTTACACGCAGTGGTTATAACCGGGGAAAGTTCTGTTCTTCTATCCATCCACTCAACAAGCAGAGTGCAGAGCCCTGTGCTTTTGGAGTTCTGGCCTTCAAGGAGTTACCATCTAGCTGGGATGTAGATTCAGTTCTGAACTTCCCGTGTCTCCTGATGTCTGAGAAAAGGTATTTGGGCTACTTGTGGCCTAGTTTATTTTTGTTTGTTAACTAATAAACTAATTCAACAACACTTACTATCTTTCAGGGTTTACTATATGTATAAGTAGGGATATTTTAAATATGTATTGCATCTTTCAGGCAAATCATCCCTTCCTGCAGAGATGAGCCATTTATGGGATAAATATATAGAACACGATAAGATAACTGAACTGCTTTCCATTCTACATATATCTCAGTTGGAATGATTGCACTTCTTTCCACAGGTAAGTGGCAAATTATGCAATGTGATTTGTTAATAAGGTCTGTTGCCTAAAAGTAGATAATGGAAAGATTTTTATTACTTATAATGGAGAAACATGAATTCTTTAATTTCCATAAAGCTAAGAAAAATTTAAATGCAGCAATATACTAGCATCAAGAAAAGAAGGACCTATATGGAGAAATATTTGATTAGAAAGACAGGACTATTAGAAGTAGAAGACATTCTCTTTCAAGGGAGACAGTGCTTGGAGTTCTGATTTATTTGTGTGAGAAAGATAACATATTTTTTGTTTTTTAATGTTGGTAAGAAGAAAGGCAAACTGTAAGACTGAAAAATAATTCAGTACTAAAACATCCCTTAGGTTGTAATAGTTTTCTTATTTTTTTCACCATGTCTTCACCTTCAAGAAAGAAATCACATATAAAAGCAAAAAAAAAAAAAAAAAAAAAAAATCCATGCATGTAGGTGTTTATATTGTTTATTTAATATATACATTATTGCCATAATACTTATATTCTTAGTAACACTTGAAAATTAGAATATTTTCTCATTGATTTTACTGTAAAACTTATAATCCTAATGATATCTGCTGCCTTGCTTAGTTGTAGACTAAAAGTCGTAATTCTACGTCTCCAGAAAGTAGGTCTTAAATGGCAGGATAGACAAATTGAATCTTAAAAGATTGTATCCTCACTACCTTTTTCTTCTTGTAGCTATTCTCTTACAAAAGCTAATATAAAGCTTCTGGAACTTGAATTGTTTTATGTTGTATATTCGTCTTTGTTTTTTATAAATTTAATAGTCCGTAAGTTCATCCTCAAACACCAAACCACTACATAGTAGAGATGAAATCTGATTTGAACCATCCAGCTTTGTATTGCCAGCGATGTTATCAGAGGAGCTACAAGAAGAATTTCTCTAAATGGTCATATAAATCTCACAAATGTGAAGCTGGTGCTCTGATTTGTATTCCACGTAATGGGAAGGCTTGTTTGAATGAAGCGGTTGTTTTGATGCCAGGTTGATATTAGATCATTGACACTTAACCTAGTGACTTTAGCCCAAAGGAACTCTCGGGTGGAAATGCACTTGTGTTTTCAGCTTACTTTGCTTCTGACCCAAATTCTTATCACCACCAAGCCCATAATTAGATACAAAATAAGCACATCCACGGGAAACACAAAGAAAGGCTCCATAGGATGGCAGAAAAGAGAATAAGGAAGGGCTGAAAAGATGATCTTCTAAGGACACAAAATTCATATTAACAGTGAAAAGATGCTATAGTGATTGTTCAACCTGGCTTCACCTCTCAGTCAGGCACCCAGCAGTCTAGCTGGCACCTATAGCAATGGGGCTAAGCCCCTTGCTTTGTGAGAGTAGCTGTTTCCAATGGGTGGATATTGTCAGTTTCACAAACAGGGCTTCCTGGGGGAAAAACCAGTGCCAAATATCTGGATTTTTGTTGTTTAGATTGGGGGCTCTTCTTATAAGCACCCTCTAGCAGATTTTCACAATCTGTTATTGGTCCCACTCCTTTTGAAGATGCTCTAGAGCAGTATTTCACAACCTTTACTGTGTATACAAACCCCCTGGAGATCTTGTGAAATGCCAGTTCTGGTTTAATGGAATGAATCAGCATTTCCAACAAGGTCTGGTGGGTCTGTACTCCAGCTCCAGGGCGATGCTGACCCTGCTGTTCTGTGGACCAAACTAAAATCACAAGGCTTGACTGGAAGTTATGAAACTATGGCCCCCATACCAGCAGCATCAGAACTACCTGTTAATTTGTTAGAAATACATTTTTTTCTCTTCTACTCCAGACCTACTAAATCAGAAATCCTGAGGATGGGGCTCGGCTCTCTGTTTTAGCAAATGCTTCCAGGTGATTTCGATTCACCCTGAAGCCTGAGAATGAATGCTCTCAGTCTGTGGTTTTGAACCATGCTTGTGTATTATAATAAACTGGGAGCTTCAAAAATACCAAGGTTTAAGCCTCATTCCAAGTTAGGAAAGGAAGATAGTATTATCATGATTGTTATTATTATCTCTATCTTACGGACGAGGAAAAGAAGGGGAGGTGAAGTACTTGTCTGAATTTGCAGCTCCTATGTGGTGGGGCTGGAACTGAAATCTAAGACTTGTTATGCGGAGTCTTGTTCTTTCAGCTCCTCTCTCCTGTCTGCTGAGGACATTTATAGAATGGAATCCAAAAGCAGAGACTGATGTTGTTTGTACCGTTCTGCCTACAGTCTGGACTGAAAGCCCATCAATCTCGCTTCTTTCAAGAGAACTCTATTCTATGAGGTCCTTTCCATTACTTGGCGTTTCTCCCAATCAGTCACCAAGTATACACTTAATTTCTTTTTAAAAGCCAACTGGTTTTGTTTTTTTTGTTCGTGGGTATGCCTTTTTGTTAAGTGGGTGAGGGATATGTAATCTATCTCATGCATAATTTGTTTAAGACAAGTCATTAAAAATGCACTAAAGTTTAATATGCTGTATATGTTCCTGCTTGGAGTTCTTTTCCCCATGCAAATGATTTGGAGAGTTTTAAAAATAGTTTTTAAGGTTTTATTGCATGCCATTGTTTGCAATACCTTGTTTTAAGGCTCTAAAATTAACATTTCTGTGCTATCAATTTTGTCTTCTGTTTGCCTCTTATTGATTTTTTTTACCCTCTGCGTGCCTAATGGAAACGGAGCTAATGGGTCTTCGCTGTGTTATTCCCTTGCTTACGCAGCAGCACTGTTTTGTGTGGTCAGCACAGCTCTAGGAATGGGGCTTTGAGCAGCAGCACAGGGAGTTCACCAACCCACTCCATCTCACTTGTGCAGATTCTAAAGGAACCCTCTCCATGCTCTCTTCCACCATCACTGTTCCTTTTTGTTTGTTTCATTTAGCTGTGTTTTGGGGAGGCAGCCTCGCTTTCCTTCAAGGATATCCTTGTGAGAGATAATCACAGAAGATCTATAACCTCTTGGAGTGACTAGGAAGATCAAACTAACTGCCACCTGTGAGAAGCTTCCCCCTGATTCATGAGGCAATCACGACTTCTTACTAATCTGCCACCACCAGCGCCAGCTCTTTAACCAAGGAGGATCCTTGAGGGGGGAGTGGTGGCAGAAGGCTGATTGCTGTATTTTATGTCCCAGCCCACAAATAATGTGGAACGAGTACACCTTCCATTTATTCCTTAATAAATGGAAGATGTATTTATTGAGGATTCTTTTCTAGGAGTGGGAAAATGCAAAGTTTAAAAAAAGTGAGCATTGTCAAAATCCATGAGACAGATGATTGCCCCTTTTGTCAGATTTCAATTATCTTTGATAATAAGCATCAAGCATAGAATTAGAGAAAAGTAAAAGGCAAAAAGGAGTGAACCTTTCCCTGACAAATGAATTATTACATTATCATTTGTTATTGAGTTTAATTATCTGGTCTGGTATAGATGGATTAAACCTCAAGATAATCACAAAATTTTACATATTCAATGGTTTCTATCTCTGTGCATCAGATCTTTTTACCAGACTCGCCAGCAAAGCAGCAGATCTGGCCTCTCATGCAAATATTAATGAGCAATGAAATGGCTGAAAGGCAGGAAGCAATAGAGAAGAAAGGGGCTTTGATAAACCACAAATGGATAATTATTCTCTAGATAATTAAAAGCTGACACCGTGCAAGGGATACCACTCAAAATACTGATATGACAGAAAATATTTCTTTTCACTTGTGGAATTCTCTTCTAAACTTTCCAAAAATTTCACTTACGGATTTCTTTTTTGAAGGGTCCAGAAATGATCAGAATGAGCCCCTTTAATCAAGTTATTTGCAACTCCCAAGCATCAGCTTCTTGCTGTCCTGCACACATGCTGGTAGAGGCCCCCACGGCCAAAGCAGTGGTGGGAACTTGAGCTTCCTCTCTAAACACTTGTTGGACAGCGTTAAACAAGTCACCCTATCAACAGCTCTCTGTTTTCTTATCTGTTTAGGCAGGATTATGTTGGCTGCTCACCCAGCAAATATATTTTAAAGATTAATGAAAGAGTGCTTGCAGAGTAACTTTGAACTCTTTATGTCAAAATGATACACCATTCTTGTTATACCATTAAAATTAATAAAGAAATATTGAACTCAGTTTTGTTTAAACACAGAACACCATCAAACCAAAGGCTGTTTTTAAAAGACCTGAACATTTGGTTTCAATAGCTGATGCAGGTAAGGGACAAAGAGGGTTAAGCATAGCTTCTGGCTAGTATTGTCTCTCAGAGGTATGTCACACAGGCCATGTCTTGAAGATTTTCTCCTAATCAATTGATTGGACTTTAAAAATGTTTCTTTTACTCTTTTTCCTTCATACACCCCATTACCCTCGTTCCTGGCTTTTCAGAATTGAGGTGCACTGCTTTTGCCCATCAGCTGTCCTGGGCCCACAGCAGCTACTCTTTTAGGAATTTCAGTAATCAGTGGTGAGGACAAATACTTTACTTTGGCTCTCTGAAGGTCTATGAGTTAACTAAATATAGGAAATAAAAGGCTAAGAGAAAAAAATAGTTGTGATTAAGGGTGACTAATTGTGATTAGTGCTAAAAAATAATTTGACTCTGCTGGTGGCTTTAGGAATTTTTCAAATATAAAAATATAGAACTTACCATCATATTACATGTTAGTAAATACATGCATATTGGAGATTTACAATAGATGCAGCAATGACTGGGTTGTGGATAAGCTGTGAAATGTAGAAAAGGCATCTTCAGAAAGATTACAGTCTCATTAAATAGATGAGATTACTTGAAATTTAGAAAACTAAAATTAATGCACCAATCTATTCAGTAATTAAAATCTCAACTGAAAACCATGGCAAAAAGAGATTTTAAAGCCAACAGATATGTAATGTGTAAATCTTTGCTAATTAATGATTACCTTCTTATACTGAAGTATTTTAAAACCTGATTTATTCCAAATGTTGTATAAACCTCAATAATTAATTGTGCACACCACAATTAATGTGGTCTGAACATCAGACCATATTAAGTTAGGTCTAAGGTGAAGCTAGCTCAGAAAGAGAATGAGACAAGTATTTAAAAGTTCTTCATAATTTGAAAGAGCCTTTTAGGTCAGGAAATGAGGACTGTAACATCTGGTTAAAACTAAAAGAGAGTTTAACTAATTGTTCAAGCTGGACAATAGCCAAAACCCTGGAGTTAGCACACCTGGATAATATCCACATAATGTTTCTAGAGAAATATATTCTGGTAAGAAAGCAAATAATGAAACTTTTAAAGGCTAATGAGGGGAACGAAGAAATTTTAGGAAACAAATTTATAGAATGATGTTGTATAATCATGTTTGAAACTTTAGAAGACAAACCAGGTTATATACAGAAAAAAAAGAAGCACTGTGTTGTTTTTTAAAAAAATGTCTTAAAAGTCCTATTTACACAAACAGACTCAGGAGGTTTTCTTCAGTCTTCTTTATATATGACATATAGTTGCCATCTAGTGAGGTAGATTTAGATTTACCTTTCATTTCAATTTTGATAAATATTTCAATTCCCCTAAAAACCAGAGAGAGTGCATTACGTCTGAGTGAGTCACGGTTAGTGAAGACAAAAGAGAAACAGGGGAAATTTCAGGTTTTAGATTAGAAGTAAGAAAAATGAAAATCCTTAGAAAATGTTTTTAGTAACCCTTTGGCATTCTTGTTGTTCAGCCAACCAAAAACAACAACAACAACAACACAAAAAAACCAGAAGTTGACCAAAGTTACTGAGTGATTGAATTAAAAAAATAAAACTCTTATGGTTCAGTAACTGCACAAATAGACTTACTCTTATGGTATTATTAAGAGGGCCAATATTGCTAATGCTATGGACTATGTATAGAAGTAATTTTAAGAATCATGACCTGTTGCTAAGACCATCTCTTATTCACAATAATCTGCTCAGATGGAATGCCTTGGCTTCATTTTGAAAATTTGAGGACAGAACCAACATTTTGCTATACAGCTGTGAACTGGAAAAGAAGACTGATACTAGGAACAGTAAACCAAAGACCACAATTACCACCACTAAAATCATAGCATTAATGAAAAGAGGTATGACACAGCTCTAATTATAGGCACTACATTTTCCATCTGTATAAGATGCTCAAGCAGCAGAATTGTTGACCCAGTACATAATGGGTTTTAAAGAACAAGTATGAAACTTCAAATTTCTAAATATAAATAAAAAAATCAGTGTCTTACAGGTTTAAAAGATGAACGAATCAGGTAATTCTAGGTACTAGATATAATTAGTTAATCTCAACTAAAACACTGGAATAAATATGAAGGAGAAAAATTACTGATCAACTTCTAGATAATAGCAGAATGATGACCACAAGCATTTAAAAAAGAATAAATAATGATAAGAAAATCTGATTACTTTCTTGATAGAATTCTGGAAGATTAAGTCAGTGAAATTGCTATATTATACTTTGATTTTGGTTTTACAGATCATGAAATTATATTTGCAAATTTTATGCAAATTTACTAAGAGATTAATGTTGTCATGTTCTATAGACTTAGGACAAAGAAAATCCTGTTAATGTCATTGGTTAAAAAATGCATAAAGATATCCCAAGGTCATGGATTCTTTGTCTAGAAGAGCTAGATAGTTTTATTCTTTTTATAGCCAAATTTCTCACCCTTTTTTGGATGCATATATTCTCTAAAAAGCTTGTGGTTGGTCACAAGAATGGGTCAGAGAAGTCAACATACCCACTGACAAAGGTTTTATTTGGTATTGTCATTATATCATTCATTCTTTCAATGAGTAATTTTTTGAGCACTTATTATATTGCTCAGGCACTGTTTGAAGTATGTAAGCTGTATCAGTGAACAAAACAGATGAAATCCTTTCCCTGGTGGAGTTTATATATATATGACAGTGCTAGAGGCAAACAATAAACAGGATAAAAATGAAAATTATATAATACATTAAAACATGATATGTGTTACAGAAAAAAGAAAAATCAGAGCAGAATAAGTTTTATTGGGTTTGTGGAGGAGGGTACAGTATTAAGTAGAGTGGTCAGGATAGGTCTAATTGGGAAAATGACATCTGAACAAAGACTTGGATGCCATGAGGGAGTTAGCCACTTCAGGGGAAAAGTATTCCAGGCAGGAAACAGCACAGGGGTCCTAAGGAGGGAATGTGGATCTGGGGAACTCCGTGTAGATGAGGTCAGAGAGTTAACAGGGACCCAATCATGTTAAGTCTTTTTGGCTATTGTAAGCACTTTAGCTTTTACTCTGAGTGACAGAGGGAGTCATTGGATATATTTGAATAGAAGAGTGAAATGATCTGACATTATTTAAAAGGATCATTTGAGCAACTGTTGAAAATAGAC